TTACGTAACAATGGAATTGTTAAGAGAAAGCGACGTGCAATACGCAGATGCAGTTTTTTTCGTTTTTGCGGGAAATCGAACATATTTTTAGACCCATCTAAAAATTCTCTAATTAGTCTGGAAACAAGGGGACCCAATTCTTGCATTCTGTGAAAACGGGTAAGGTTGACTGTAACGTAATAATCTTTATCTTAGTTATCGTTACTTTTGCCCGAGCAACGCCGGGTCCACCTGCTAGTTTATCAATAATTTGTAATGCATAAACATTCTTACCGATTACTTGTCGTTATGTGATAAGGAAAACCGTGGTAAGCTTGCTGATTTTATAAGTTAGAGGCAGAAATTTCAAACGATATACAGTACATATTATGAAATGCGCAGACTGTAAAAATACTCGATTCGTTCTCCTGCATGTTGAAATTTAGAAACTTCTTCGCTTATTCTAGCAGATACTTTAGTGACACGATGTTTAGAGATCTAACAGTAGTATAAAATACTTTTATAAAAGGTTTGTAATTATTAATGGTTTATCAATAAGCAGATCAAATGCTTGCTATGTTGCAAAAAAGTGTAGTTCGATAAGCTCTCTAATGTGGACCTAGCTGAAGCCATCGTTTACATTAAAAACTTCTCTATTAGTACTTGCAGATAGGAAAGAAAAAAAAATTTTGAGTCGCGCAGAGTGGCAGTATAGTGCTTTTATCCTGCAAGATTGGATTGATAGAATAAGAAAATAACACCAAGGCGATCTATCAAGGAGTACCTTTCGTGAAGATTTTATATGGGCGTTAGACACATGAAGAAAATCCGGAAAACTCTACGAGGCCCGTTAGTGAGGCCGAACCCGTGACCAACTACAAGATTTAGTGTTTTTATCTTTAGGGCCATCAACCGTTCAATATAATCTATTATATTTAATATTTTTCATATATTTTTTGTAATGGATTTAATTTTCATTTTTAATATTATGGTTAAACACTATGATCAATAATATGCGGTGGCCGAGTAGATGAAACCACTGAATATTGACAATTGCTTTCGGGTTCGAGTTTCAGCAACGGGCATACTTTTCTTTACGTCGTATCTAACAGTTAAATAGGGACCAGTTTCCAATAGAAAGTCCTCCCAAGAAGTATCCCTTGGCAGATTGCTTGTATGTAGTGTTGCCTTCTTCAATTAAGCCAATCCAGATGCATTTGCATGCCAAACCTAATTGATAATGATATTGTAGCAAAAAATCTATTAAAAATATTTCATTTAAAAGTTATCATACTTACGAATAGTTCAAACATTGTAATAAGTAGTACATAGTTAATTCAACGCCATAGATTTGACATCAGACTCCATATTTTATTAGTACTGTCGACTTACTTAATTTTTTTATCATCGGTATTAATATAACTTTTCTTCAGGAGAATGAATGATAGCAATGATTTTGCATCAGTCAAATTTGTGTGAAAACGGTAGAATGGTATCGCATTTTGTGTTGGAAATATTTGTTTTGGTAAACAACTACTGCATTTCTTTTTACAGTTGCTGAGTGTGAAAACATTTTCAAATACAGCACACTCATTAATATTTATGTAACGAGTCACTTGCGATAGGTCGTAACTATCAAATCTGGAATCGATCCGTAATTTATCATTATTTTTTTTTCAGTTTATTTGTATTATTTGGAAATAAACAATACTTTTGTTGTTTGATTTACAGGATACATTGTAATATGTACTACTAATTATCCAGCTGTTATAACTTAACACGGGAAAGTATTGTAATCAAAGTCAACCCCCGGTTTTTTTGCGAATTTTGAAGTTTTAAGACTTGTAAACCCAAAAAAGTACAAAAAATTACCAACAACTTCCGAGCTATTATGAGACTTTATCAAAAAAATAACTTTTATATTATTAATCATTATAATAAAAAAAGGCAAAACGCTAATTACTTTCCCGGCTGTTACAAAGGGAAAGTACGACAATCAGTCAAAAATGACCCGAAGATTTTTGCATTTTTGGACTCAGGTGAACCTGAAACGTCGAGAAATGCAAAAAAATTCGGGGTATGTTCTGTAAAAATTTTCTGTATGTATGGATATTAGAATGTGTGTATTGGAAAACAATTTTGTTTACCCTCTTTGAAACGTAATAACACTCGTGCTTTTTCTCGAAAATTTCTAAAATTTTGCAGGGAGGTTTGTTTATTAGAGGCATTCATTCTATTAAGTTTTGGTGATTAAAGGTCGAGGAGTGGGGGAGTTAAATAAAGTCGTGTGTTTCTCGAATAGGATTAGACATAATGATGATGTTACTCGTTATTAGCATTTAAATATTTTTTTATAAAACTCATCCATACCCTTAAAATTAAGCTTTTTGACATTTTATAATAATAAATTACAATATATAAAAGTTTTTAAAATAAGATATCATAACAGATGGTGCCATACGTCGTTTTAAATTTTGTTGCCGGGAAAGTTAAGCAACTCGTTGCTAGATTTTTTATGAGGTTGATGCTGTTTAGAAGGGCCTATATACAGATTTAACTGAGCTCGAGTTAACAATGTGATAACGTAAAATCTCAATATAAAAAATCAATTTTAATTTATTTTATATTAATATAAATATAAGTTAATGTGTTAATAAATGTTAATATTCATCAATTTTATCAGAAAAAACATTTTGTTTATTTTAGTAATATTATTCAATCTTCATAACGAAATATGTAATGTAATATTAGTTTCTGTAGGTAAATACGTATGTAACGGCATTCCATGAAGCAGTTATACTATATTTTCTTGCTGTTAATGAAACTTTAAATGAAGGTTATGGAATATATAATGGCACTGTTATAACTCAAAAGATGTGGAACAGAACATTTGAAGGTAACTTTTATTAGCTATTTGATGAATAATTTAATAGATTTATTTTATTAAATATATAATGAAATACTTTTAAATATACAGATATTATTAGTATATACATATATACATATATACATATATATACAGATAACCCCCCATATAACACAACACTTCTATAGCACAGATTCACTCTAACACGGTTTGGGAATTGGGCAAAATCCTTGTACAACATGAAATGTAATAAAGGGTGCGTTCTTTTATACCTCCGCATAACTCCACGTGAGCATTCTAATTGTTTTTGNACAGATGTAAAATACAAGAAAAAGTCAGTAAAAGATAACATTTATAAAAGTTTAATTTATTTAATAGGCATTACAGGGAATATAAATATTGATGAAAATGGAGATAGAATTATGGATTATTCTCTCTTAGATATGAATCCTGTAACAGCTGAATTTGAGGTAGGATCGATATGAAATTACTTTTATTTTTATTAAAAAATTTAAATTAAAATTGACTTATAACGAAACCAATTTTCCTGTAAGCTACATAGTATAAGCAAAATTTGCTTAATATTCTAATTGCATCGTGTCTTGCAACTACCAGCATTTATTGTTTATCTCATAGAATTAATTTTCCCGTTTATAAAGAAAATTCAACAATAATAATTGTACTTATATTAATATTACAAATGTACAGTAAAAACCTACATTTATCTTTCTTGGACGAAGTTATAACGAAACGAATGTTAAGTGAGGACTTTCTGTATGATATTAAACATTAATAAAATTAAAGATTCTTTTGTTAAATGCTGAAAAATCTATTTTTATTTGTGTTATTCAAGTATATATTTATGTGGTTTTCGAAGAGGCGGTAAGGTCTCAATCGTATACCACTTTTCTTCTGTCAAGGAACTCCTATATAAGAGTTCATTGATTCAGTGGAAGAATCTTAAAAACTGAGAAACTAATTATTTCAGCTTCTGCACTGCTAGGAGATAATTGTAATTCTGTAATTACAAGGTTATTAATTAACTGAGGCATATACTTACTCGAAATATACATTTTTAGTTGGACACCTTAATTAATTAATAAGAAACTTTTTCTTCATCAATGAAAATAAATGAAACAAAATTATATATTAATTTTTCATGCAATATTAGTTTGTCTTTTATTATATATTTTTTAGTAATTATAGTTTTGTTATTTTTAGGTGGTTGCTAACTACTATGGTTCAAATCAACAGGTGATTGATGTTGTTGGTAAAAATGTGCATTGGCCTGGAGGTAGAAAAGATCCTCCACCTGATGTTCCACCTTGCGATTTCGATGGTTCGAAATGTCTTGATGGTAAAATATTTAAAAAATTTAAATTTATTTGCGTATAATTTTAGTAAAAGTTTAATTTTTATTTCAAAATATATTGATAAATCATATTGGGAAATTTTTTTGTACCGATCTTTTATTAACAGTCGTCTAATTTCGCTTGTGCAGTTAGTAATTTTACATTTATACAATTAAATTTTGAAGAATTCGGTAGAATTTAAATATCAATGTCATAATTAAGTTACTTCATATTTTCCTTCGACTATGAAGACAATATAGTCCAAGATTCAACAGTCTTTGTTCAGCAACTATTGAGTCCGACTTATTTTCTAAATGATGTTACAGAAGCGTAGAGAATAAAATATAAGTTTTTATGAAGGTAAACAATACAGAAATATTGGAAATGACATCAAATGTTTACGGTAAAGTTGTAATACTCGACGAAATCCAAAAAACTTCGGTTCTCATGAAAAAACAATGAAAACGGACGGAACAATGAAGGATTCTTCTAGTAAGAGTTTGTTCTAAAGAGTGAAAAGATTAATGAAAATCACTTCAGACAGACTTTGTAATTGCCATTACACAGAATGACTCGATAGAATGTATCTGTTTAAAAACACGCACTATCACACGATGTTGCAATTGTGAATTAGTATTTCACAAAAAAGTAGTAATATGATATCTATCTACAAGTCATTTACTCACCAAATACCATACTTGCCGAATACTTTTTCCAAATTAAAATTTGCCCACAAAGGTCAACATTTTGAAACAGTAACAGAGATTTAGAATGGAAGTAAGAATAATTATATAATAAGAATAATAATAAAGAAGATTAGTCATACATTTTCCACAAATTTTATCTGAAAAAGTCTTGTCTTGCCACTCAATTTGTACATGTGAAGATATAAACACAACTTTCAGCAGAAATATCATTAATTATTATTACCAGATACGAATTGTTACATGTAAAATAATACATATAGCTGATAATTGAATTCAAATTTTTTAGATTATAAAAATGAACAGAAAGTGGACTCAAAAAATATCATAAAATTGTTAGAAGCATACGAAGAGTTTATGTTTATGACATGTTGGGTCTGATATTTATAAAAGGCGAGAAATGAGCGAGAATACATATTTAAATACAGCTTCTGCTGCTGAGAAATGTTTGTTACTGTTTATTTAAAATGCAAAATCAAAATAGGAAGACTTCTAAGACTAAGAATATTGCTTTAAAAATTATGGAAAGATTAGCAATCATCACTATCACTATCTCACAAAATTTAATCACTATCTCAATTTAAAACAAGAGAAACGAAGGTATTAAATTAGACCCTTAGATGTGGCTGTAACATGAAAAATAATACAAATTTAGCCAAATAAACTAAGAATTCACTCTTTTTGAACTTCATATTATGAACAAATATTAACATGTTTAATGACATCATTTACATAGCACATAATTTTATATATTATAATATATAAACTAGCTGCCAAGTAAACGATGCCATAAAACATGTTAATATTTCTAGAACAGAGTACGAAATATGTTTAAATATTTAATAAAACTAAGTATTTTATAAATTGCCTTTTCTTTCTTGTAAATATTCTTACAAATTTAGCAGAATGTAAATAAAATATTTATTAGACAAAGCATTATAAAATACTTGAAAAAAATTTTTTTACGTGTATTTTAATTTAAGCAATTTTACAATACTTTAGAGTAGAATATGACTTAATTATTTATTCTTTCTCAGTTGAAAATGTTATTTTAGTTTTTAATTTAAATAGTTTGAAGTGGAAAAGTTTTACTTAGTAAAAGTCCACTGTCTTAATTTCGAATTACTAAAAACGTACGCAGTTTGATTGTAATTTTTTTAACATATACGATGTTTATATTTCAGATTCTCTTTCTCAATATACAATTATTGGAACAATGCTTAGTACAGTGATTGTTATATTTAGCATTGCATCGTTTTTTATTTATCGGTAAATGGTTTCTTATTACATCTTTGAATATTGTGCTCGTTTTAAAAATTTGTTACAAATATTTAATTAAATTATTAATTTTTTTTTAAATCTGTAATTATTACTTATTTAAATTTATTACAGACATTTTAAACTTGAAGCAGAATTATCTTCTATGACGTGGAAAGTCAAATGGGATGACATTATTACCACGAAACAGAATCTTAATAGAAAACCTGGTTCAAAAATGAGTCTAAATCGTAATAGTATAATTGTAAGTAAGCATGAATAGTAAAATTTAAAATAAGTTTTATAAAATACGTTTTTAATGTTTCTATCTTTTAAACATTTAATTCGTCCATATCTTGATTCTTTTCTTCAAAGCATGCTGAGTGATATCCATTGCTTGTGAAATGTTGTAACAATGATTAATTAATTTTCTAATAGATCTATCAATTAAATAGTGGAAACTACTTGTAATCCTAAAAGAACTTTTTCCATTTTTCCGTGTGTACAGCAACTATATTATATAATAATATTATATTTATTTATATTGCAAGTTTTCAATTAACATTGTTGATAGATTTTTGGAAATTGAAACGAAATCAATTTAACCATATACTAAATAATATAAACAAGAGTTAAATTTCACATTAGATTATGTTTTAAACGTCCAGCATTTAATCAATTTTATTGTTTATAAAGAAAATTCAACAGCAATAATTTTAAATGATTACAAATGTATCTTTTCTCAAGAATGTAATAACAAAACGACGTTAAGTGAGCATTTGCTATATTGTATTTCATTATTATCAACTTGACATAGTTTAATGTAATGGAAATTATCATGGATCTAATCAGATGGTTAGACAATAGACATAAAGGCATCTTAATAAAGAGAAACGAGCGACATTCTAACTATATTGATAAACGATTGCCACTTTCTAAAATATTTTAGTGTTAAAAAGTTTAAATCCTTGAAGAATCCTTGAAGATGACTACAATATGATTCATTTATCAATGTAATCATTTTAACAATACAATTATTCTCTCTTTATATGTAATTTCTATTGTTCTGTCAAAAAGTTATTATATTATTAAAAATATATATATTATCTATNTTGTATGATAACACAACTTTATTTTAATTAATCAACTGTTCGTTATTGGAATACGAAACATGTTTTGGTAATGTAACAATCACATTTATTACATTTCTAATCAATAAATAATGGCAACTCAATTTGAAATCTAGGAATTAAAAATTATTTAATTTTAATTTCTATGAAATTATAATTAGAAAAGAGTATTTGCGTTTTACATAATTTTTAAATTTAACGATATAAATTATTCAGAAAGATACGCTGTATACCAGTTCGATAAAATTTGATGCAGTGTATTAAATTTCCACGAAAAACTTTATTTTAAGCATTATGACTTCATATTTATCATCACATTATCTTGCTCTCACACTCAAAATTGAAATTGTTAAATAATGAAATAAATATTCACTTTGTAATTTTTACAACTATTTTTTAATCCAAATTCATAATTTAACTATAAATTTAGATTCTAGATTGAGAGAATACATTAGATAGTGTAAGAAAGACATAATAATGACACTCGCTGAGAAGGTTTCGAGAAAAGAAATAAAAATCAATTGAAAAGAATTAAGACTAGAAGATATAAGACACCTTCCGATCTTAATACAACTCATAATCTTCTTAAGCGTAATATTATACCATAATTTTTGTTAACGTACCGAGTTGGTGTTGAATCAAATACATATCCTTATATCTACTTCATATAATGAAATATGAGTTATTTTATTTTATTTTACTCTCCGCCTTGTGGTCGCTAGAAGGGTCTTATTATCAAGCCTATTGAGAGTTCGGCCAAGGGACGACCGAGTGGTGAGGGAAGGGATCCAATATATCCCTAATGGACTTCCTGCCAAGAAATTCTTGGGGTTTTCGAGCCATCTGAATTTGTTCCCGATTCCCTCAATATTAATGGCTGAACTATTTGAAGATCATCATTTTTTTGTATAAAAATTAGCATTCTTAAATGATATTTCGAAATTTGGTGGTATTCCCATTAGAAGCTCATGACATACCAGAGTGTCGTGGAAGTGAGAACCACTCTTTAACAAGATTTACAGATTTAATAATAGCAACTTTTATAAAATTATTGGGGAAATTGTATCAGAGACAGTATAGGAGTTCGGTTGTTTACGAAATAGATTTCATTAAACTTAAAACATTAGAATTTTATTTAAATTTAACGGAATTGAATATTCGAATGTTTACATTCTGAGAATTCTATTGTGTAAATAGGTTCCTGAAGATGATCAAAAAAGATGAAAGTAACAATGATGTTAGCAATATATTTTTAGAATAATTTTCTAATAAAATAAAATATAATCAGAATTTTTTTAATCTTCTTGATCATTTTTCTTGCAACGTTTTAGACCGACATCGATGGGTTTTAACTAATTGAATAATGAAACAATTATCGTTATGGAAACTATGGTAAAGCGAATGATTGTTCTGTTTCCCCTAAGCTCATTGTTATAAAACATTTCTGAAAATATATGATACAGTAGCATTGACTATACCATATCATACTGGCCAAAAGAAAATTATATTTAGGCCTATAATATTTATTTAACAATTATCTTCACTCCTTTGATGTAACTTTATTTTATTTTAATATTCAATCAAAATTGTTTAGATACAGAAGTGAAAAATTTAGCTATAACTGTAATTATTGTAATAATTATGGATTGAGATATTAACATAAATATTTTATTGAAAAATTTATTTTAAACTGATTATTTTATTATTAAATATTTTAAATTAAGTGAAAAAGTATAAACAATTAAAATAATTTATTTTTAGGGTGCTATTGTAGCTATCAAACCGATTAACAAATCTCGAATCGAATTAACTAGACCACTTCTTTTGGAATTCAAGAAGGTCTGTCAAAATAAAATTTTAAAAGATTTTTAAATATTCTTTAATATTTATATTCAACTTTTCAGATGATATTTGTTTTATAGATGAAAGATTTACATCACGATCATATTGTTCGATTTATTGGATCGTGTGTGGAACCTCCTAATTGTTGTCTATTAACAGAATATTGTCCTCGAGGAAGTTTACAAGTAAGAAATTATCTGCTAGTAAAAAATAATCAAATTTACCTCTAAATACTTTGTTTTTTAAAACTAAAAGATAGTCAATCTGACAGAAGCATCAGTTTGCTACTCTGAGAGACCAGGAATTTAATCTGAATCGGCTCAGAAATTTTCGTTGATAGGATCACCTCGATATGTTAGTCTTGTCTCGGTCATTCCCATTCTGGATATGACCGAAACTATGATAGATAGGTCTTCCGATTTGATTCAGGTTATAATAACTTGTCATGGGCAAATTGGGGGACATCACTGGCATTTCTCATTGCTGTGCTGTAATAGAGTCATTATTGCGAATCAGACCCACTCGTAATGGATATAATTGTGGCAAATTCAGCCGGACAACTTAGCCGTTTATCCCAAAGATTTACACTCGTTGAGTATAATTCTGTAGAATGAAGTGTGTTTAATCTTGAGATTAAAACAAAACATACTGTATAATTACATGAATAATCGTTTATATTTAGGTAGAATTATTTACCATTTTTGAAAAATTCATTAATTAAAAGAAGAAAAACACAATATTACTTCATAAAAACGGAATATACACGAATATTAGCTTTTATTATTATATTATATTTAATACAATACCTTACAATATAAAGATAATAACTCAAAGCATTTGATATCAAATTTGTTTAGTGATATTTTTGTGGAGGACCCCGTGATATCTTATCACGGACCCGATATTTCTTAGCGTTGAGATCGACACTCCCTTAATTTAGGAGGATGTATCGTTCAGGATGGCGAGAAGGTGTGAACTGCGTATGGAAAGTGATGGCGTTAGACACAGAGGCACGAACTCTGCTTACATTTAGTACCCGTTTATTAATATACAAAAGACATCTTACGTAAGACAGAGATCTCCTTTGGTCCTTAAAAACTAATCTGACGCATAGTGTCCGGACAGAATGTGATGTTCGTAGGATGATATTGTCTCGAGTTCGTCGCTTCGGCGAATCAGAGTTCTCCAATGGCGGAGAATGCGAAGCACACAGTTGTTGGCTCTCGTATCCATGGTCAGTGTTCTCAGTCCCATCCGGAGAACCTCTTGGTTTTATTTAGGAAATCCCTTTCGGTTGTTTGTGGGAATATCTCTGCTGGCCTTAGTGAATATTCTCATGACGTACCTCATCTCCCATGAGAATGTTCACGTATCATTTATTAAATACCGAATCCTGAAACTGTCATAATTTAGTAAACAAAGTTTAACATTATTTAATGAATATCAAGTCTTTTCACCGGTTTTTTATGCAAACAATATTAATCTTACGGGGTTGCAATTTTAAAATTAGACCTATAAATTCTCACTGTCGTTAGTCCGTTTGTATGTCTATCTGTCTGTCCTTCTTTAACCTCGAGAACAGGGTTAAACAGATGAACGGAAATGGAAAGTTTAGGAGCCGTAGACCCTGATTAACTGTATAATAACATCCTCTGAATCGGAAGATACGTTATTTCAATGCATTATTTATTAGATGTATACAAAATGTTTTTCTAAATGTTTCTGGTGCCGCCCTTGTATTCATTTTATCTTTTATAGTGATTTATATTACTATTATAATTATAAGATTTTATTTATAAATTTCTAAATTATAACCATTTATATATTTATTATTTTTCTAGGACATTCTAGAAAATGATGAGATAAAATTAGATTGGATGTTTAGATTTTCTTTAATGCATGATTTAATTAAGGTATAATCATTTAATTAAATATTATTATAAAATTTAAATAGAAATTTACGATATTTTAAATTAATTTATCCAAATAATATGTAGGGTATGGCTTACCTCCACAGTAGTGAATTACGTTCTCATGGAAATCTTAAATCATCAAATTGTGTTGTGGATAGCAGATTTGTTTTAAAGATTACAGATTTTGGACTTTATTCTTTAAGAAGTTATGACGAAAACGATAATGAAAATTCCTATGCTTATTGGAAAAGTAAGTTTTATATATGTTCAATTATATGGAATTTATTTAAATATATTCAATATCATTTATGGATTTATAATTATAGTTTTTTAAAACTAATTTCTTATTATAATTATAAATAAATTGTTTGCCATTAAGATTTAATGAATATTGTTAGATTTGATTTTTTAAAAAATATGTAAATCATGAATACAGTGTCAAAAAATCTCCGTACAGTGACACAAATCAAGCCCACCAGTGGCCCAATAAATAAAACCATTGAACACTGGTAGTTGGTGCCTGACCAATGGGTTGGCTACCATGAAGTGTTCTGTGTTTTCTTCATATGTCTAACACCTAAACACAATCCAGTTTCCACATAGGAAGTCTTATAAACAGTGATAATTTCTCTATATATAACAGAAATTTCTCTATAATGTAATTTTAAAACGCTAACAAAATTCGTTGATAAAATACTACACACGTTTAGATTTATAATAACCATATAAAAGAATTTATATAACATAATATAAATTCAATTTTCGTATATTAAATATATTACATGTTCATGGCTGTCAGAAGTCGAGTGCCTTGAGCCATTTATTATTTTTTAGAATTTCTAGTATATCACACTCCGTTGCAGCAGTTATAGAAAATATTTCACAAAAGAAAATATGCATTTGATAAACAAAATCTTTAAAATTATTATCACAAAGATTTCACTTCTCTTATTATCACAACACTTTACCATCTCTTCGAATATGTGAATCGAAGAGATGGTAGAGTCTTCGTAATATCAAGAAAGATCATCAAAAAATGTTTCTGTGTTTAAAAATATATATTATAAGGTGATATATAAATATTAAGACGAAAATTATAAACTAACAGATGAGCGTAATCATTTACTTTTACGATTTCATTGGTTTCTAGAAAGTATCACAAAGCAAACCATTGTATTTCTTATTAGCCTAGTGTTATAAATTAAGAATAAGATGCTAAAAATAAACATTTAGCTGTTTGTTATTGTACACAAATGATAAAAGTATGATATTTTATACAGCCATTGAAAATTTATATTAATAGCAAGTGCATGTATTGTAGCGCTAAATAATGCCATTGTATTGTCATGCATGATTTAGTGTATGTTTTTGAATGTAACTTGAGCTATGAAATATCTAATCTCTTTGAATTATTTCTTATAAATTATGTATTAATAGATGCAGATATAAATTTGTTAGTTGTAAAAAAGTATAAATTCAAATTTAGTTTATTTTGCAAGCACTTAAGAAGTTATTGAAAATCTTGGAACGATCCGTATCAGTATCATAGCCAGTCACCGTAACTAATAATTATTCATAGATTCGAAGGATGACAAAGAATTTTAAATTACCTTGAAATATTATACAATAGTATTTTATTATATAGTAACTCACTAAAAAATAACCCTATTCAATTTTGCAATTACTTCTGCATCATATGATTAATCCATCTTTTTCTGAAGAATATTTACGAAAAGTTATTAAAGTTTTTAACAATGATTAATAACAGATAAATTGTTATAAAATTTTTTTATTAAATTTTAATTTATTCCTTTCGTATTGAAGATAAATGTAGTACAGAATTAAACATAAACAAAGAATTAAATATAGATCTAGCTATTTTTTTTAATTTTTCACGTATGAACGAACACATTTTTAATGATTTAGTAGCATTTATGATATATTATTATTCATTATGTTAAAAAATAAAGAAATAAAAATACATAGTACATACATAAATAAGAGAATGATAACTAGTAAAATATCAGAATAAATAATGAATGTTTATATAATGTAAGTTTATTTCGCTGTTTTAAATATAGAACAATCATTTACAGACATATTATTAATTTTCAATCTTATTTTGTATCACTCTTACATCAATTCAAAATCATTATTATTTTATTATTGAACGCATCTTACATTTACAAACTTGAATAGTATTTTAGAATAAAATCAGGGCTAGAAGGTAAAAAAAAAAGTCCTGGAAAGCTGTGAACGTAAAAATAAACTGGTGTTTTCTTATCATACGTAACAAAACAACAACGAAGAAAATAATAGTGTTTTTCGAAAAATAAAATATCATTTTCTACTAATTAACTATGTCATCCTTAGAGATATGGGTTAGTTGGTGAACAGTAAATGTGTGAAACCTCTACCAGAGCTTGTTCTGTTATTTTTGACCGATTACAGGTTATAGTAATCGATCAAAAATAGACTAAGATTTTTGAGGCACAGTAAACATGTTTAAGAAATCCTGCAAATCAGAAACAAAAGCATTAGATTAGATTTACTCACCTATTTTTACAGCAATTGCTCGTAAACAGAACACACAGCACACGCAGCAAGCATGACTTTCGACTAACACAATATACACAAACCTATACGTGGCATCGCTTTTAGTTTATACAATAAGTACTCCTGTGAACCGTATAACCCTGGTTTACCCTGTATAGAATCTTTAACGAATATTAAAGAAGTATTTATATTACACTGTAAAATAATATATATCCATGTAGCTTTATATATATATGTTTATATATATATAAATATAGTTTGAGTTCAATAAATAAACTATATACCGTAGATGTAGACTGTATATTAATCTGCTAAGCTATTTCAAATTAGATATATTTGATATTTTTAATATGCCTTTAATGCTCCATAGTATAGATTCTATAAAGCATTAGACTCGTGGGTGTAGTTTTAGATTGCATTGCTAAGTTTTCAACGAGATAATATAAAGAGAATTATATTAATTTGCTTTATTAGATATTAAATGAAATAATACATGATATTAATTTATAAATAAAAGTAGTTTAAGATAGAATTTATTTTATCATATGTTATGAAGAAGTATTTATAAAATTGATAACCTTCAAGTTTAAAATCTTAATATTTTTAATTGATACGGTCTTTTGGATATGTAAATTAAGTAAAGAGAAACGATAGGTATTACATTCAACTCTATTACAAAATGCTGACAAGCAATTTGTATATGGGATGTGTGAAATCAATGCTACAGCTCCGATAGAAGTGCGGGCATTGTTTGAACGACGTCAATGATTTACTGAATGCTTATCAAATATTTGTGAAAAATGGATATGACAGTATAAAACTTTCTTTATATTTTTTTTTAAATTTAATTAATTCTTTACAAAATAAAAATCCCAAATATTTTTGTTAATCTGATGAGAATAATATGTGAACATTAGTTTGATTATTACTAGTAAAATTCGAAACATTCTCTAAATTAATATTAATGTTGTTAATTATTATTAGAAAGTTATCATTTGGCATTCATTATCGTTTTATAAATGTCTGGAAAAATGAACTTAATGTCCAAATTTGATTATGATTTTATGAAAGAATTTTTTATTACATTTTTATGTATATGATAGATTAAAAACCATTATATACATATGTTATAAAATATTACACAACAGTTATATCAAATAAATAAATGACATCTTCATGTTTTATAGTGAACTAGACCTGTTATAAACAGTATTATCTACTAATACTATTTACATCATTAAAACTAGTAAACTCTGGAGAATTATGAATCAGATTAATTAAAATAAAATAAATAAAAATAAACATATTTTAAATTTAAACTGTATTTTCAGTTTTGCATTGTTATGTTTTTCCTAGTTCTATTCTTATGTTTCATTAATTCACCAATAACATAAGAATGAAATTAAAGAGGAAAAAAATAAAAATAGAAGGAAATAATGCATTTTTTGTAGTAATGATTTAGTTTGTTTGCATAGTCTTATAATTTACTGTTTGGCTTTTTAAGTCATTACTAGTTATCAGTTTGTCAGTTAATGTTCCATATTTCAATATCCAATAAAGATAAACGTATCAAATAATAAAATTATGATAATGTTTAATAACATGATATATATGTTATTTATAGAAAGAAATTAATTCATTTGATTAATACAAAATTTAAGGAACTATGCTATATTAGAGAACAAAACAAAATGTCAGACAGGAATAAAAAATAATAATTAATAATAATCAATAAATGAACAAGTAAAACTAAACCACTAAACCAAAAAGTTTATTTAATGCTAATTAATATTGGGCTCGTTATACGCGACTCTAATACAGCTGGACAAGCAAACAAAGGGCCACTTTACCAAGCAAAATGGACAATATTTTATTGACTATAATTCTTACGAAACATTTACAGCATTAAATAACGCAATCACAGGGGAGAGAATAAAAAACAATAGAAGTCAATTTTACTGGCACATTTAATAAACATTTCAATAAAATTCAAATTACAATTAGTCCATTAAATAATTTTATGTATTTTATTATTTAAAAATTATAAAATTATGAATTTATAAAAGTAAAGCATTTCATACTGATAACATCAGAATATATGAAACGTTTTGAACTATCAGACAAGAATAATAGAAACTTTGGAATCTTATTTAAATATGAAATAACTTCAATTGCGTATTCCGTTCTTATAAGAAAACTTTTCGATATTTCATATGACTTTAATGGGGTAAAAAGGATATTAATATACTTACTTTCTTACCTGAAACTCATAGAAATGTATGTATTGTATATTCAATTTTCTTAATCTTAAATGTTTGTCATAGTGAATACCATCAAATTTGTTGGACTCAAAAACATTATAATATATTCTTTACTGTTTACTCGACGTAGAAAAATCTGAATTCTGAATGCTACTTTCATTGCATAGTTTCATTATCTACAGTTTAAGATAGTCATTACGGGAGATTTAAGTACGATATCATTCGTCGAAGATGATTGGATATGAGCTTTATTTGGAAAAGTTATCCAACAGATGATTGGATATAACTACATTCAATGAAAGCAAAGTTTACTTAAAAATTATTTATTAAATGTAAAATGATCAAAATAATTTTTCTAACATTAAACGTAAAGAAAGTATACTTGTTACTTATATTGAGTATTGATATAATCGGTACAAAAACTTATTTAGCA